AGCAGGGATGAAATGGCCACCATACTCACCGGATTTGAATCCGTGTGATTTCTTCTTGTGGGGTTATCTCAAAGACTTCTGTTACACGGACAATCCTCAGACAAAAGAGGTTCTGATAAGCGCTATCCAGAAGGGTGTTTCTAATATTTCTCAAGTTAAAATTGAAGAAGTCTTCCATAGTTTTCAGAAACGCCTTAACTATTGCGCAAATTCTGATGGAGGACACTTCGAGAGTATTTACCATTAGTCATATGGGTGATTATCTGCTAATTGTTATTTTCTTGTAGTTCAACTTTTCCAATCTCAAAATGATGAAATAATAAAATTTCTCCGGATGTCGGGAGACACTATAACATTCCACCAGTTCGATACAATAGATGCCATTCCCTGATGGTTTATTTAACCCTAGAGAGCTGAAACCAGCCTAAATGTCACTACCGTGGTATGTTCTTTTTATGAAATTCGAGATTTTGTCAATGAAACCGGGTAAATAAGTAGCTGAAAGAAAATTTGCTGAACATAGATAATAAGGGATGTGACTAAGTATACTTTCCTGATACAATTTTCAGAGGAATAACTGTTTTACGCTCAACAGAAAGATCAAAAACTTTGTCTCACAATTATAGTACTATTTAAAAAAATTTGAATTCAACTGTCGTCGCGCCATTCCCGACGTTTGCACATGACGCACGTACCGAAATTCTGTAATGAAGGGGTAAGGCCCCGTATTTACACCAGTAAAAATTAACTAGACACATGTGCACATCCAGGAAAGACTACTCGGGAGATGAAAAAGATAAGTCACAAATTATTCTGTCACTAATGTGGTCTCATGATTGTTACATGCCGTGTAATTTCTTAGTTAATTTTTTTCATTAAAAAAGTAACATTCCATTGCCTGGAACTCATCATCTTCAGAGAGCTTTCAATTCAAAGCTGGCACGAAGTGAGATTAGGTATTAACACAGAATGTCACAACCGTGTCATATCTTACATAAACGTGTGGGAGGGAAGTTGTATCATCACTAAAGTATTTAGAAAAATGTTTTAGGTGTTTAAATGGTGCAAACTCGGAGTAACACCCAGGTGGGTTATCAACAACTGCTGAATACACCTGTGCTGTGTCTGAATTGATTGTTGAAAAAAACCCAAAGTGATTTCTGCAAATGAATATATGATACTCGAAAGATGTCAAATAAATCAATAAACTTGTTCTATTATCCAAAAATTAAATTCCTTGATTGAAATACGAAGACTTGTTAAGTTTGTTGACACCGTGGCAGTAAGAAATCCGTAACACTCTATTATTCTGAATCTGTTAAAGTTGTAGTAGAGTGCTGCTAGGACTATACTTCTGCACCATTGTGACGGAATTTTCGAGAATTCCGCCACCTGTATATAACTTCGTCGTAGAATTAAGTAAATCATAAGAGTGAGTAGGTAAGTGTGAAATTATCTTGATCTTTTCCGAGAGGGAGTCGCGATTTCTTTAACCCCAAAAAGTTAGCACCCCTACCGAAGGGCGATACAACACCCCTTTCAGCTCCAGCTCGCAAAAACCGGTCTCCAAGAACATCAGGAGGGGCCTCGCGGGGAAAAACAACGTTCAATTTCAACAAATAATTAAATTCACGTGTCGATACTCATTAAAAACGAGTAAAAAGTAAAATCTCCGGTTCAAGTAATATTAAAGTTTTTATTCTCTTTTAGTTTCAGTTATCTTTCTGGTTTATTTTGGATTTTAGGGGATTAATTTTCGGTTTTATGGTTAAAGGAAAATTTACAGTAATTGTATTTTCCTAGTTATATTTTTGTATTTTGAAATCTCGCGGATCCTGAGAGGGACGACGATCCACCGCGGTTCAGAGCCGATAAACCGAGCTTCCCGGTGAGATCTCGCTGATCTCGTTGAGTGCAGGCTGCTGATCACAGAGGTTGAGGTGAAACACTCACGCTCCCTGGCTAAGGCGCTTCGTGGAGTCATTGGATTCACCAGTGCAGCTGGAAGGCCATGTGGATGAACATAGCCCATTCGCCTGCATGGATCGCCATTGACTATTCTCTCCTTCTCCAGGATGACTCCCGGGAGAGTGACAGCAGCAGAAAAGTGCACTCACTCAGGTGTGAAGTGCATCCGCGAGGAGAAAAGGCGAACAACTGCCTTAATTCCCCTTTCTGAACCTCTAGATAACTATCGTTCAGTCACTATGGATAAAAACCCCTTGGGTTAGTTCATAAAAAATATAATTAACGGCGAAATGCCTAAATAAGTCCAAAACCCATTTGAATCGAAATCCCCGCGTACTCGTTTACATGAGCCCGCCCCAGCGGCAGCTAGGCAGCGTGTCAGTCGCACCACCCAGCTGAGGACATCCGCCGGTTAAACGCAGTATACGACAGAGTTGGACCCGAGCAACCATTGCGACGACATCCCCGAGAATATCGGCAGCGATCGAGAGAGTTGGTGGAAACCATCGCCGAGGGCCCACACGACGAATATGGGAAGTACATTTTTGTTCACTATGTGCACTCTCTCCCGAGGAGAGAAGTGCATTTATTCCAAGTGTGCCCAGTGATAACCTCCGGGAAAAGTGCACCGGCGTTCACGAGAGTGACACCGAGATGCATTCTCAACCACCAAAACTCCTCCGAGCGAGTGGATAAATGCACCAGTGAGTGCATAAATCCGTCGTCCGGTTTCCTAGACCTCTCCCGAGTGATAAAACCCCAGGGAAACTCAAGTGATAGTGAAAATGGATAGTAAGACAATAAAAGGCCGCACATGGCCCATGCCCTGCCATGGCTCCATTGTGCCTTCTCCGTTTACCAAGAGGTCTTGTTGAACAATCAATGCACCTTCTGAGTGCATAATTAGTTCACTAGAACCCTCGAGAACGTATGGGGAATGTCCAGTGCCAATTTTAGTGGGAAGAAGTGAATAAAACATGCCTATAAGTGCACACATGCTCCTCACGTACCGTAGGTGACGCTGTCGTGCACATGGCGATTTATTCTCTTTCTAGAGCGAATTGAAGCCTCAAATGAGTGCTCTTCTAGCTCAGTAAAATCCCCTCAAGGTTTTAATTTATTAATTTAAGGTTTCTCGGAGGTCGATACCCCGAAAATGACGACATTGAAGCTCGTGAGCTCCAACAATTTTCCTGTGATGCCACGATGCTCTTGATGGAGGACGGACTCGAATATGGGGCAAAATGGCACTCTTAAGTGACCACACTCACTTTTTTCACACTCGAGTCCCTCGCCCCTTAATTGTCATTGATTATTCTTAGGAGATTCGCCGAGATCATCGCATTGGAATTAACATAGCCTTCAGATCCTCCAGCACTCCAGTTCCTGAACGATGCGGAGAGATCGTTGGCTTGAATTCTTCGGACCCCCCATTTTCCTTCGCGATAACCTCTCTCCCAAGGTCAATTCACGTACTCTCACTCTCGGGAATTGAATTGAATTTAATTTGGTTGCATTTAATTGAAATTAAATTATTTTATTTATGAAGAATAGAAATTCTATTTGAGTTGAAATATTATTGAGAAATTGAATAAATCACGGAGTAAATTTAAAGTAATTCTCTCATCTCCTATTTCATTAATTTTCTGATTCTTCTCCTTGATTTTTCTGTATATTTTGTTGAATTTGCGACATCCTTCCTAAGACCGAGCGACCGATCATATTTTCCCGTTTTCTCGTTTTTCCGTTTTTTTTTTGTTTATTCGGTTTTCGAGGATTTTCATGGGGACATCGAGGAGCAGAGGTCGAAGGTGACAACACTCCGGCTGTTTTGAGTTTCGCGTCGAGTTATGGATAAGTCTACGGTTTACATTTTAAGTTTTGAGGTTCACGTTGGTTAGCGCCGTCACACCATTATGACAGAGAAATGTAAAAAAATGTCTCTACACGCATATTTAGATTTTGAAAAATGTTCCAGATGAAAAATCACAATTTGCAGAGAATCACTCATATGCCCTCGAATGTGCTGGATCAATTCTTTTATCCTGTGAATTTTTATTTAAAAAAACATTAAATGCAACTCTAACTAATTGCAAAAAATTTGCAAAGTCTATTGTGACTACAAACATGATGGCCCTTCCTTTCCTACATCAATCAACTAAACTATGATAGTTTAATTTTCATCTATTCCCAGTTATCACCCTGTACAATTGGAATGGAGTTGTGTGAAAAAGAAATGACTATACCTATCCAAGTCATATCCCATCGTTATCTCAGTTAAAATCGTCAAATTTCAATGAAATTGTCATTTTTTGAGGTTTTTTTTACAAGTTTTATGCAAACAACTATATAACCTCTAAGGCGCTCGTGTTCACGAAAGAATCAGTTGTGAATTACATGAAGACATATCGATAGAAAAAAAATTATTCAAATAGATTCATTTGTTCAAAAGATATCATTGGGCAAAAACACACATACAGACATACACACACGCACACACACAGACGTGCGTATCATACTAACGTATCAGGATGATTCTCGGGGTCATGATACATCGCAAAACTGAAAATACCACATTCGATTGTTGAGATAATTCCGATAACTTCCTCCCTTTGGGTCGGGAAGTTGAAGATATTTTTTTTGAAACTTTGGAAAATCGCCAACAGGCAAGTTGGCAAGTAGCCCAATTTTCGCCAAGTGCCTGGCAACCCTGCACCCTATATATTATTTTTCTTACGACTCGTAGAATGTTTCATTGTACTCCTGGGGAGCTTATGTTAGTGAACTAAGTCGCACTTATGTCACAAACAACCTTGCCTGTAGGGGACGAAATTCTCTAGAACCGGTCTTGCGCTTTTTCACTGGAAAATTTCTATGTAAGTGGTTCAAATCAAATGTGAAATTTTCATCAGCAAAGAATTGGTCTTGCTCAATTACTAACGCAATTCGATAACTACATATTAACAGAAATTTTTCATCTTGACAGTTTATAGATAGAAATAATCAGTTGTAAATTCATTCTTAATGAACAGGTGCTTCCAAAGGAACCAAAAGAAAGTTATCAGATGCCGATGGGAGTTCAAAACTTTCAGAATCTCCAAAACCTCCAGAATTACCTCGAACCATCGATAATACTTTAGGAATATCTCAGAATGAAGTAATACTCTGTGAGAAAATGCACAATCCGTCAGCCTTCAAGTGCATTGGAATTCTGCCTGGTCTTGGCCCCTACGACAACTCAAGTGATAGTGAATGCAGTTCTGACTCAGATCACGAGCACGAGCACATCAAATATGATCTCTTGGGACGAGAATTAACGATGAAGCATGAGAATAATAGTTAAAATATTGTTAGCCTTTCTTCCACTACGACATTTAAAAAAAAGAAATTTTTTGACAGGAACATGTGAATACTGAGTTATTTTGACCGAATTTATGAACGAATGAATAAAAATTTCATGATGAAAGTCATTCTACCCATTTCCAAGCAAAACCATAAAATGTATAATATTGATATTTTTTCCTGTTTTTCATTTTTCAATAAATCAAGTGTCATTTAAAATTGGAGACTGTTGCGAAAATTTTATCACATAAATTTTTCATACAATCGTAATTCCAGGAAGACTAAAAAAGTGACACAATATTACTCAATTGATTGGACGTCTTTCCCAAATCTGTTTTTCAATTTTTCTTCTTTTTTCTTTAAAATGATAGATATTGCATGCATTGTAGAAAAAGATGGTATTGATCACTTTGGGAGTTTGAGGTCAACTAATTCGAGTTGAAAAGATGGTATGAACCTAATCCAGAAAACGTTAACTCTGATCTATTTGAGCTTTCTATAATATTTTCACCTTTTTTTAATGACACTTTTTCCTCAACTATATACAAGCTTTTTCCACAATTGTCTGTTTGATGGCGGAGTAGCAACAGAATAAGAAAAATGCGTATACTATTTCATTTTTGAATTTCATTTTTATTCCGATATGTATGCACTTTCAACCTTTTACTTACTTGGCCCCATATCGACTGTAATGTGGTATTTTCTTTTCAATTCATTTTAATGCTTTTGTGTTTGCCATCATGTAGTTTCTCGGTCGTTAATTTAGTCACCACCAGACTTGAAGTCAAATCTCCCAACAAAGAGAATCACTTATGAGAGTCATTATATTGTTACGTCATGATTTCGCAAATTTACCTTTAGTAAATCCGGAAATACGAGTATCGATTTTTACCTGTTTTTAGCCTATCCGTTAGGATAATAGCTAGGGATAGGTGAGTGCTCATCAATTAATCCAGAAATAAAAAAATACACAAGATTTTTTATAATAATGGATTTCTGACTTCAATCCAATAATTTCCCCCTCTCTGATTTTTACAAATTCAAGATAAACAATGGTTGTAAAGAAATTAATTGAATCATTCCATTCGAAATTTTACTCAATTATTCATCAAATTACTTTAAATTCCTTTGAATCAAACATTCAATTAATCAAATTGAATGAAAAGTAATAATTATTTATGTATCTTCTCATCTGCTCTGAGTTTGACGTCAGAATAATGAACAAATATAATCATCGAGGACTTGACTCTAACCTTGAATGAGATTTTTCCAAAAAATTTGAATTGATTGATCAATAAATTAATAATTATTGAAAAGTATTTACTCCTGATTTTCAAGAATTCGAAGATAATAATAAGGAAAAGAAATTTCCTTCACAACGAAATAACAAAAATTCCAAAGAATTTCAACTACTGAATGGAATGACTCATTCAAGCACAAAGGTTCTGTTAGATAATAGTATATTACGCAACAAGTGCGTAATGGGTTTTTTGGCTCGTGGGAAGTTGTAAAACGAGCCGAACGCGAGTTTTACAATCCCACGAGTCAAAAAACACCATAACGCACGAGTTTCGTATACTATTTTATGTCATAGGGCCCCGAACCCGTGATTCTACCCAGCGAAGCGAGGTTAGAATCGCGTGATTCTGGGCACCTATGATATAAAAATAACGGTATGGTGATTTGTACATGACGTGGAAATAACGTGGCTTTAACGTGTTCCTTACGTATACGTAAAAGGCACGTGGAAAAAACATATACGTAGTAGGCACGTTAACGATACGTTAAATCCACATTAAAGGTACTTATTAATAAAGTTGATTGAAGTTTCCATGTGCCTTTTGTGTGTCATTAAACAAATTTAATTCTAAAGTGATTTTACCGTGTACTTCACGTCCCTCTTGTTTTCAACGACTTTAATTTCGACGTGACTTTAACGTGCACTTAACGTGGACGGGCGGGACGAGGACTATTCATGTACACAACGTTGATACTAAGGTAAGTGATGAGTTATTTTGTGTAGATTTTACGTGTACCTTAGAGTGCCTCTAACGTACATTTAACGCGTACGTTAGAGGCATATGGACGAATTTGGGTATCTAACGTTCACGCGTTAGCGTGAATTTAATGTGCACCTTGAAGTGTCTCCAACGTGCAGTTAACGTGTATCTTAAAGTTTCACTAACGCACACGTAACGTGTGCGTTAGAGGCATATAGAGGATTTGGGTACCTAACGTTCACACTTTAGCGGGGAGTTAAGGTGTACCTTGGAGTGTCTCTAACGTGCACTTAACGTGTACCTTAAAGTTTCACTAACGTGCACGTAACATGTGCGTTAGAGGCATTTTGGACGAATTGAGTAGCTAACGTTCACACATTTGCGTGGATTTGACGTGTACCTTAAAGTTTCATTAACGAGCACGTAACATGTGCGATGAGGGTATATAGACGATTTGGGTACCTAAAGTTCACACTTTAGCGTGCACTTAACGTGTACCTTGAAGTGTTTGTAACTTGCACTTGATGTATACCTTAAAGTTTCACTAACGTGCACGTAACGTGTGCGTTAGATGCATATGGACAATGTGCGTATCTAAGCTTTACACGTTAGTGTTAGAGGTATATGGACGATTTGGGTATCCAACTTTCTCACTTTAGCGTGGCTTTGAGATATACCTTGAAGTGTCTTTAACGTGCACTTGACGTGTACCTTAAAGTTTCATTCAAGTGCACGTAACATGTACGTTAGGGGTATATAGACGCTTTGTGTACCTAATGTTCACACTTCAGCGTGTACTTAACATGTGCCTTGAAGTGTCTCTAACGTGCATTCAACGTGTACCTAACGTTTAACTGGCGGGAGGGAGGGTCACCTAGCCTGGATTTGACGTTTACCGCAAAGTGCCTCTAACGTACATGAGTTGGACATGGACATTTCGTAGGTATGCGTATTGATAAAGGTCAATCTCAGTCTGGGCCTTCCGGTGTACATTGGGATAACCGCCTGAGTTTTTCCAATCTGCGGTTTGTCTAGGTACAGGATGGATAAATTGCTGCAGATTATCAATAATCATGACCCATCGACTTAGTAAATATAAGTTGTGACGTAATTTCCTGAGGTTCACGGAACCCTCGATCCACTACGTAGCTCTTCGACGCACAATAACCCTGAAACGACAAATAAGTCGAGCGCCAGGTCGTTATTACCAGAACGACCACTGGAACAAAATGAACGACCAAAATCGGAATTTCCAGAATAATCCTAAGCCTCGAAACGGTCTCCCGCTAACTCAGACCGAAGAACGCCGTGAAGGTCACTGGTGAAGCTTAGATTAAAGTGTGACTAGGTATTGACCGAATCAATGAATTTAACTCAAAATTGCGGGGGAAAATCACAATATTTAATCAGGCTTAGATGACTCGATACAATAAGAACAAATTAATTTTTTTGAAAACCCCCTTTGATTATTTCGATCGATCAACGATCATGAGGCTTCGATAGTTACTAAATCTACACTTGTCAAAGGAATAAAGAATTCTGATAGGAAAATAAGGAAGTAAAATACTCAGTCAATTTAGTCAAAACAGATTCCGATAGTTAAATTGAAAGATCTAACCATCCCAAAAAGTCAGAAACAGATAATGTCAAAGAGAACAATGAAAATCAGAATCAAAATATTGTCAATAATAATCATGTAGATTGAACAACACTGAACGATCGAAACCCAAGAATTCGTCCACGTGACGAGTACAACTGGCTGTCCGAAACAGATACGAAAACACAAAAGAAACCTACGTTCAATGTCCTTCACTGAATATTAACCGACAGCGAGAGTGTTCGTCAAAAACAAATTCACTCAAACGCAACACTAATTAATTTTCCAAGTATCATTTCAAAAATAAAATATTCATAAAATAATTGTCACTCACAACATGAAACACGGGAGCCCGAAACTCTACGAAATAAATCAATGTCGCGAGACAACCGAAATGATTAGACACATTAATTCCAAATACGCACGAGAGAGAGAGATAAAAGAGACCAAGTAATCAATTACTGATCAGAGTGATGAGGACTCTATCTGACAATTATTCTGAAACTCTAACAGTCCTACGGGACTAAGATGCACAAAACATCTATTCAAAACTCTAAAATTGGCCAGAGTCCTACTCACGATAAATTTACACAGAAATTTCATACAAAGTCGTAGCCATCCGGCTCACCCAGCAGTCCACCTCGATGTCTCCGGAAAACGTCTCCAAAAACTCCTCAAATCCGAGTCCTCGGGACCTTCCTCCAGACAAATCCACTTGGGGCTTCCTCCACAGGTGTATCTCTCCTGCCGGAACGCCTTCAGGCTCCCCAAAACTCCAAAATTAATGTGCGGAAAAAAAACGACTCCAAGATTGATCCGACACACTGTATGGCCAAACCTCCAAACGGGAAGTGAGACCATGGACCGTGAAAACGCGGCAACGACGCTTATTAGCTGCTCGTTCCGTTCACTCCTCCAATCAGTTTCCAAACAACTAGACTCTGTCGCTCACATGGCCGAACCAAGTCCCTCGGCGCATGCGCAGTGACTTCTCCAACGTTATTTATTCCAAAACAACTTATCCCAAAATACCAAATAAATCCGAACGTCCTCTGACATCCTTCCAAATCATTCTCCAGGCCGTTCTGTCCCCAAAGGACGATTCAACTCAACCTCCTTCTGATTTTGGTGAAATCCTCCACTTCCCCTTCCGCATTGAACCAGTCGGACTCCTACGTCACGTTTTCCCTACAGTTGCCCGAGAGCTGGCGACCTCTGGCAATCCGAAGACCCATGAGGCTCGCATCACGAACTCGAAGTATCCCGAAGTCTCTCGACGATTCCCGGAGACGTTGCCACCTCAGTCCCACGATGTCGGCGCCACATTCGATTCGAACAATATAGAAGGAAATATAAAAACAGAATAATTAATATAACATACTAAACCTCTCTCGTGACTCTCGCCGTCGGTTGGTGACTTCCCGTCTGGTGATTTTTAAATTACAAACTCCCACGCGAAACGGTCGAATTAAGAAATACTATTTGTGACGGAAAATAATACGTCACAACTGACCCCTCCCAGACCGAACGCGATGGCGACTCTTTAGGACCTC